TAGATTTTATTCGAATGTTTTATTCGTTACTAGCTGGCTTACCCGGCTCCGCCGTATCCGGACCAAACTTGGCACACATACACTTCGGGCCCCGGCGGGTGTCACAGTCCACTTTTCGTTATCGATCGATGTCGATTTTACCGATTTTTATCGATTTTTTTGCAGAGTTTACCTACAGGGCTAGGAGTTGGCACAGGGGGGGAAGTGAGCATGGGGATTCCGAATACAATATTAGTTTTCAGAATTATCGATAACTTTTATTGATTTTATCGATTTTTTGTAAATTTTGACATGCGAGGCTGGGATTTTGCACAGGGGGGTAATCGAGTATGCTGATTACGAACACAATATTAGTTTTCAGGATCGTCCATAACTTTTATCGATTTTATCGATTTTTTTGTAAAGTTTGACCTGCGGGGCTGGGAGTTTGCACAGGGGGTAATCGAGCATGCAGATTACGAATACAATATTAGTTTTCAAGATCGTCCATTACTTTTATCGATTTTATCGATTTTTTTGCAAAGTTTGAGCTAGGGGGCTGGGAGTTGGCACAGGGGGGTAATCGAGCATGCTGATCACCCCCAAGGGGGTGACCCAAATGGATAGTAGCAAGCAACACTGAAACACTGACAAATTTGCAGCATGCCAATATGCATAGAACCGTTTGAACAAGGTCCCAATAGTTGTTGTCTTTGACTGCTGCCGCTTGAGTTTGGCGCGTTGTTCAGCGACAGAATGTGTCGGTCCTCCTATCGGAACTTGAGGAATGGATGCGTTCTTCTAAGTGGTGTAGATGTATGAGTACAAGCTCTGGCCAACATTTTACGCTTTCTCAAAAAAATTTTTGACGTGGGAACTTCTTCAAATTGTGCCAAACGCAAAACATCTACACACATGGTAAACGTGCGCTTAATCTTTCTTTATAGCCTCTCTTTGGATATGGAGACTACTTTTATATGCACCGTAGTACCACAAACAGTTGTTTCTTATCACTCATAACAACTTCAGACGAAAAATTCCCACTTGTGGCTCCGTATGCGGATTGAAAGTTGCAGTTGCCGCTATCGCCAATTTTTGCCTCTCAAAAAATTTTGCTTTGATAAGTCGTAAAAGAAGGGGATTCAAGTTTGCTCCAAAAACGAACAACAATTCTTGTAGAGCAAGATTTTCTCTTTTCAATGGTATAGGTACTTTGCCGTAAACCAACCGCTTCATCGAAAAACGGCGACAAAAATAAAAAGTCGACGAACTTATGAAACGACCTAATAGAAATACCAGGGAAGGTCGCGAACTCAAGGTGGCCGATTACTACAAGATGCATATCGTCACGAAGAGCTTGAAGCGCTGATTTCAAATCTGCCTTCTTCTCATGCAGAACGCATCTGGGAACGAAGTTACAAACTTTTATTTGCGTGAAACTTGCAAGGCTGAGAGTAGCCAAAATTATTTAGACCTAAGCATTTTGGACTCAAACTTACTCGGAACACCCTATCCATGCTTAAAGGCGGCGTCCCACCGGACTGGGGGGGGGGGGGGGTACTTGGCTCTGGTAGTAATGTAATAGTAGACCCCCTAACTAAGCGACGACAGAAGTTTGCAGCGCGAAAGGGGGTCTGCCGAAGTTTAGAAATCCCCCCCCCCCCTCCCCCAATGGCCCTGATCCTACGATAGGCTCGGACGAGTACCAGATGCATGCAAGGTAGAGACGCAGAATCGTTGCGGGACCCTGCGCTCATGACTGTGTGCGCTATGCGTGCTCTGACCTTGCAGTTCGAAATCGCTTGTGGCCAGCATATGAGCCTACCGTAAGATCCGGGCCACTTTCGGAGCAAATTTCAGACTTGGTAGACTCCGACTCCCTTTTTCGCTCCGAACTTCAGTCTTCGCTTCGGTAGGGGATCTACTTTAACATCGCTACAAAGATCCGACATCCATTTTGCCGGGACGCTGCCTTTAATGTGATGCTGGTCTATTCACAATGTTATCTTGTAACGCAAGAAGTAATTAGAACGATTTTCATTATTGTAGTTCAAAACCATGCAAATTTCGATGATAAGAACGCCCGTAACTTCTTTTCCAAAAGCGTTCTGTAGATCAAAAAGGCATTTGAAATCAGCGCTTTAAGCTCTTTGTAAAGGTATGCATTATGTGGTAATGGGCCACTTCGACTCCGCGACCCTCCCTTATTAGTCTCTACGAAATCATGAAATACACAAAACTTCCGAACAATATAAAATCTCCTGTATTTAGAATTTTCTAAAGTGGTTTACGATAACAAACTAATTCAACAGGGCAAACGTGTGTTTACCTCTTCAGAATAATGAATTCTGGATTTTCGATACAGCCTGGGACGTATTTGGAGGCAGTGTTTCATCAGAATTAACGGATTTTTACGTATATTGAGGGGCCAGCCTATTAGGCCAATGCTCAAGTCCCGTTCGATAACGCCTCTTAAGTAGAGGAAATTGGGCTCACAGTGGTGCGCTGTATCGGTTTCCTATAACGTTTACACGTCTTCCCAGGGGATGCGGTCTTTCTTGACGTGTTCAACCTTGCGGTCAAAGCTAAGGTGGAGCGGGACAACTCGTCCGCGTTTACGGGTACTTCGTAAACCTTGGTTGGAATTTACGCGGATTTGGACCCGCATGGGGGGTACACGGTCGAGAAGGCTTTAAATTCGCAAAATTTCCGAGATCCGAATTTTGATGGGACACTGCCTTTAAAGACAAGAGTTGCAATAATTATATGCTCGAAGCTCGAATCAGGATGAAAAAAGTCGTCGAAACGGGGAGAAGAAGCTGTATAGGAAGACAACCTACTTGCTCGCCGATCGATGTTTTATGAGTTCCAAATATGGAGTCCGATACCACCAAAAACTATTTCAGAAGTTCTAGATGGTTGCACTGCACTGCACTTTACTTACTCCATCCAAATATAGGGTGTTTCAAAAGTAGGTACACACTTTTTAATCGTTAATAACTCCCTTCCCACAAAGTCTTTTGCTTAGCTTCAAGTACCATTTAGTATAGCGCGCATCAACTTAGATTCACAGTATGGAGCGAATCACCGATCGCTCCTGCTTACTGTGCAATTGCGGTAAAAACATTCAACGCAAAGCATCATTGCGGAAAAGCCTTGTTTCAAAAAAATTTTCAAAATAATCTAAAAAGTTGTGTACCAGGGTTTTCGCGCGCGCTGATTCCAATGCTCAACTTTTGACGAGTTTGGAGAGCGTTTTGAAGGGTGTAATCACAATTTCAAGGAGCATTGTAATACCAGCCGTTGCAGTGTGGCATAACTTATGAACGAAGAAATGCGGTAAAGTGCAAAGCCCACATTTGGTGTCACCGTCTCTAAAAAGCCTGGGATAGAAATTTTCAGGTTGTTTGGTCTGCATTACGAGGCGAACTGGAGCTCTTAGTGGCTTGAAACCCTCCTTGAAATTCGTAGCGTAATCCTACGGTAATGAAGAGCAGTGAATGGTTTGTTCCATACTGCAAATCTAATGTAAGTTGAATCCTGCTCTAATGAATGGTCCTTAAAGCTAAGCAAAAGGCCTTGTGGAAAGAAAGTTATTCCCCATTAAAAAGTTTGTACATACTTTCGAGACACCATGTATTATCAAAGCTCTTCCAAAGATTTAGAAGAAATCATAAAAAAAAAATAGCTGAACTCGGATTGGTGAAAATTACGGGTTGAAAAAATCGGAACATAAACAATATTGCTAGAAAGTGGGGAAATTTTGCATCGTTCACTGTTCAGGGCGTTAGTCTATCGTCGTTCTGAATGACTTGAACATAGATCCGAAAGACGTTACGGACTTTCGGACCAACCCAACTTTACCAGTACAGTATCACTTACAAAATTCCATGACTTATGCTCCAGAGAATCGTCGGGGTAGGCGACGATGTGACTTATAGGCAAGCGGGCACCGGGAAGATAAATCGCTGATTTCTTGCGGTCCGCTTGCAGATATGTAGAAGAGCGTTTACCACTTTTAGACAAACGCTTATAAAACTATCGCTGCTTTTTCACTGATAGTTGCGGTGCGGCGGCTGCATTCTCGCGGATTTTCCGCGAGAATATGCAAAATTTTTGAGGGCCGCACGGTCCACGGTCCTCTGTGAAGGACCGCACAGCCCGTAGGTACCTTCCACTGAGAGAAAGTACCCCAAACTCGAGTAAGACATCGATGACATTTCTGCCATAAAAGTCTCACTTTTGCTCGGAATACGCCCGAACTGCGTAACAGGATTCAGACCGCTAGGTGAAGGTTTGGCCCCCGCTCATTAAAAGAAACTTTTTGACGAGCGCTAGAGCACCAAATTCTGTATTGTTGCCCGCTGGCAGAACATGCGACAGTGAAGATGGTGCCGTTTGCTGGAGATTTGGCTACGCCCCAAAATTTTGCTGACCCTTGCAAGAAAGCGCGCGTTGGGGTCCACCTGCCCCCGGCGATTATCTGATGGATCATTTTCAAAACTTGAGCTCGCAATGCTTTTGAATAGCCAATACCTCCAGTCTTCTAATCATGAGATGATCTAAGTACCCTAATTTCACGCGTACAAGGCGCGGGATGGTCCTAGCTTTCATCGACCAGCCCGAACACGGCAAAGGACTTCGCAACCAAAGGAACCCCATACCGTGCTGCGTTTTGCCTGACGAATCGTGCGGCATAAGAATCGCTTCTTAAAACACGTTGGGGCGGCTGAGCAGCTCGATGAAAGCTAGGACCACCCCGCGCCTTGTACGCGTGAAATTAGGGTAAATGTTTGGTTCACAATCCAAAATTCTGAACAATGTTCTTTTCCATAGGTGCCGGCTCCTTTTCTGAATAGGGCTTCGAGTTAGATTTGATTTAGGCCTAGACTTCTTCTCAGTCCGCAGCACTAAAACGATAGCTATAAATGATGGGCATGTTTTGCAGAGAGGACCCTCAGATGCACGTTACCATCTGAACTATGTTCGCATACTTGACTAAAAAGTAACAAACATTTCAGACATGGCCCTCGTCGAAAATCCGTCCTTAACCTTCACGACTACCATGAGAGCCGTCCCGCGTCCGCATCGCCTTCGATGAATGCTCTTTATCGAACATGATCTCCAGGAGAAATCTCATAGTCAGAGTGGCTACAAACTCAGTGATATCATTATCTCGCAGTGACTTGCGTCTCAGTGTCAATTTCTATAGCATGTCTGTATCTGCTCAGAGATTTAGTATGCATAATAAGAGGTCGACAAATTTGTATATTGTTTGTTTAGAATAAGCTTTACCCAGCTGCCACAATGTGTTTAGAGGAGGTTTGCAGTCATCACAACGTTGCAGAAAACCGCAAATTTTGCATGAGCAAGGCACGGGTCCCGGCACATGGGTGGCAAATATCGAGCTATAATTCGTTCTGTGTGAAAAAGCAGTAGTTATCGTACTCATGCGTTTGTATGCATTACATAGCCCTTAGACATGTTGTGAAGGTAAATTTTTTTCTGAAAATTCCCTCTACCAAAAAATGGAAAAATGGCTTGTTGCAACGCACAGATGACGTTATGGCACAAAATTTGGCGTGTGTACGCGCAGTGGAACTAACAAGGGAAGGATACTAAAGTAGATTCGCCTACTGAGACGAGACACATATATTTGGAATCAGCTTGGAACGCTGATTCTACATATGCTGTTCCTAGCTGCTTAGCAGGATTCCGAAGCGATTTATGGTCTCTTTTCTATGCAAAGTTTGCGTGCTCCTCGAGCTATGGATGCTACGGTGTCGACGTCTAGGTGGTTTTGCAATTGTATAATGCTCCTTTTCAAAATCGAAAGAATTAATCTGTTGCTAGTTCAATATTCTAGCACTTTTTTCGAGCAGATTCTTATCTATACGCCGTCTTACGACGTTCAGAAGTTTGTTAATTACTCACAACGGCAAGTCCACAACTCGCTCCGGAATACAGCTAAGCAGCTAAGAACAGCATATTTGGTATCAGCGTTCAAAGCTGATCTTATATATAAAGCTGAATGTCTGTCTGTCTGTATGTCTGTCTGTCTGTCTGTCTGTCTGTACGTATGTGCGGAATAGAAATTTTTATTTCTGAACCGATTTGGACCAAACTTGGCACACATATACTTCGGGGCAGGGAGCGTGTCATAGGCTACTTTTCGTTATCGATCGATATCGATTTTATCGATTTTTTGCAAAATTTGAGCTACAGGGCTGGGAGTTGGCATAGGGGGGTAATCGAGCATGCTGATTACGAATATAATAATGACAGGCCCGGGCGGAGCCGGGTATGCCAACTAGTTCCAAATATTTGTGTCTCATCTCGAAAGGCGAATCTAAGTTAGTATCCTTCCCTTGTAAGAAACAAAGCATGAAAAAAGAGCGTGCTTAACTTTTTCGCAAATTAGGTGCCCACCTAATGCCCACCTGCCCACCCAGCGCAGTTGGTGGATCAAGGGGGAAGTCGACTCAAAGTGGCAAAGGAGTGCTCGTTTTACAGGTGTTTATATAAACCCCCTGTCCCGGGCCGGGCCCAGCACGAGGGTGGCAAATGGACATCAGTAAAACAACTTCGCCTCTGCCACTATCGATTTTCACGATTTCCCACTTGATCCCGCCAACTGCATAGGTTGTTTGATTGGAGCGCGCTTTCTTCCTCCAAAGAACCGGCGTCGTTGCTAATCCTGATCTTAACAAGGAGCAAAGGGAGAGTTTTGGAACCAATATGTTACTATATACTGAACTAGGTGTAGAACAAATTTATGTAGAAATTTTGAAAAAGTGTGTGTGAAGTGGAAGCTTTGCCTGCCTCAGGTGGGCATTAGGTGGGCAATTGCCCACCTGATTCGGAAAAAAGTTGGGCACGCTCTTCATTCACATAATTTCTTCATAATTTTTCATATTTGGTTCCTTAGTCCTACTGCGCGTATACACACCAAATTCTGCGCGATTTCGTCATCTGCGCGCTGCAAATAAGCCATTTGAATTTACATCTTTATTTACCAGTTAAGCAAAGTTTGTGGAAAACATGCTTATTACATCTTCCATTCACATAAGTTGCCATAATTTTTCATACTTTGTTCCCTCTAGCCTCTCTTCGTTCGCTTACGAAATTTGGTGCCATATCGTTACGCATACATTGAGAACTAGTCATGTATGTTGTTACAAATAGCATCGATTAATACATTCACGACATTACGACCCACCGGGGGGTCCTACGTGTTCTGCCGTTTCGGACAATACGACCCACCGGTGGGTCGTAAGATTCCTAAAGCTCCAGCTTTTTTTTACGAATTCTACGAGGTTCTGGCACATCATTGGGTACGCCTTGGCAAAGCTTCAGCTGGAGTCCGAGTTCGGGATACTGCAGTGTAATGTTACGGTAGGTATACCGTAAATAGAGCTAAGGCACAGACTTTAGCTCAAATTCTTCGCAGAGTGGTGCTGTTTGAAAATTTAAGTTTATATGCACGAAAAATACAGGGAGGACACGAGACTGATGTCAGCCCATCAAAAATTATTGATTTTATTGATTTTCGCATGGTTCATCCCAGGAAGCTCAAACCTTACATATATAGGTTTTTCAGCATGCTGATTACGAAAGTGATAGTCTCAAGTTCTAATACCGCCTTCTTACATCAGTTTCTTGATTCTTAAAAAAATTCTACCGTACTGCTACTGTACTCCCACTGTGGGAAAGTAATGAGCAAGATAGACACTATAATCGTGATCAGCACGTGAAATAACCCCAAAACACAATTTTGCATGATAATCCATAATGTTGGGTCGTACAGAATGACTACGCCAAAAACTGAAAAAAAATCATATTTTGGTAATCAGCGCGTTCGATAACTTTTGTGGGGAAATTCTCGGAGACATGTTCTGAATTGCTTCCAAGAAGACTACCATTTCGGACAATACGACCCACGGGTGGGTCGAGTTTGACAAAGCGAAAAAGGCTCTGGTCCGAAACGGCAGTGATCGAAAAATCGGCCTTGTCGTGAATGTGTTAGGCGACGTTGCGCGTGCGGCAAGCGATGGCGCGGTTTGACGCACGCGAACTTCAGTGTTCGCCTAAGGCACATAACATGTTAAGATACGTAGAAAGCGCGAACTACCACTTTTTTCCGGGGTTTCGCCACGGACCCCGCAAACACGACATTCTCCTTGCTTTTTCACCTAAAACAATTTCCAGCTTTAGTTTGCCCACTCGTGCCGGGCCTGTGCTGGGCCCTGTCAAAACACACCGCAAAAAATTATTGTTCAGACTGTGACAATTACCACTAGAGCGATTGCGTCAAAAGAGACATTCAGAAATTGTGCAGAACATTTGACAGCTGCACAACCAACGATAACCTTTGTGGAAAAATTGACGAAACCAGGAATTGAGCCAAATATTGCAGTCGAGTGTGCTTAGAAAGGGGCGAAGCATTTGGTACTCAAAGGCAGTGTCCAGGCAAGGGTTTTCGCCTGGAAACTGATGAGGGGATCCTAACTAACGCACTGCCCAAGCCGCAATGCAAATGATTCATTCGCGGCTGAGAAATTGGTCCCCAAACCTCCTCGCGCCTGCGCCTGACCATAACCCGGAAATGACTCCGCTCGCTGTAACATTACGTTCGCGCTGGTACCCGTCATAAGTCACAAGAGAGTTACCGTCGGCGCCTCGCGCGTGGTGTGGGAAAAGGATTTCTCAGAGTGAATGCATACTTTGCGCTGCCGTTTGAGCAGTGCCTTAGTAACCCCTATACTTGGGTAATTCGAATTTTTCATCGAATGAATGAATATCGAATAAATTCGAAAAGGAAAAATTTCGAATGAATGAATATCGAATAAATTCGAAAACAAAAAATCTCGAATAAACGAATATCGAATAAATTCGAGGTTCAAAAATTCTCGAATGAATGATTTCCGAATAAATTCGGAAAATCAAAATATCGAATGAATGAATATCGAATAAATTCGGAAACAAAAAATCTCGAATAAATGAATATCGAATAAATTCGAGGTTCAAAAATTCTCGAATGAATGATTTCCGAATAAATTCGGAAAATCAAAATATCGAATGAATGAATATCGAATATATTCGAACATTGGAAGTCGAATTTCGAATAGATATTTGAATGATTTATCGAATAACTAGAGCAACCAAATCTCAAACTTGCCGACATATCTGGCTAAAGCCGATCTATTCACAATCAGCACCCTCGTATCCCCTATACCAACTACTAGCTCAAAATTTTCCAAAAATTGCTGAAATCTACAAAATAGATTTCGGTTTTAACCAGCATCCTCATTTACCCCCCTGTACCAACTCCCAGCCCCGCAGCTCAAACTTCTCCAAAAATCAAATTCGAATATTCCACGAACCGAGCATGAATCCCCCTATAGTCCCGGGCACACTGCAGGCATTTCAGTGGTGACGTGGTTTGGCAATAGTCAAATTGTCCAAAACTTATTCTAGAAGTAGAATGCAGGGCATTTATCTTTTTAGTAAGTTGTACACGCTAAACATTTGTGGTAAGCTGGCGTTACATTTGAAGAAATCTCGTAAGTGGCAAGTCGCGTACGGCAATCTAAACCGTCTGATTCTCCACTACAACTGCGATGTCCTTTACTCAACATACACCAATTCACAAAAAATCTCTAAGGTAGCGAATAGAGGCAGTCGTGCAATATAGCTTATGCGAACAAGAGTGCTCACTAGTGTGGGCTTTGCGTACCACAAGCATGAGCAATGCAAAGAAACAAAAACAGGCATTTCAAAACACTTTCAATATATGAACTCGGAACATGAGCTTGAATTTGATAGCTTCTTTACTGATTGGGTGCCAATAGCAGTGCGAACAATCTCATTGATCGAAAAAGCATCAATTAAAATCCACATATGATTTTTTTTACTATCGCAAGCAGTCGGAAGATTGCGACTCTCCATACAGTTCAAAGATATACCGGTTGCAAAAGATGCATTACCGAGTTTTGCGAAAAAAAACGCGGACGAAGTGAGCTTGATACTCAGCAGATGGCTCTGCAACAAAGTCGAATAATTTGAATGCGGAGTTCATTCGAATACGAATTCGAATAAACATTCGAATAAAGCATTCGAATAAAATCTATTCGAAACCCCGTTTTTTG